GAGCAGGCTTGCACCCCACAGGGTTTCCTGTGGCACGGTCACTCCTTTTGATCAAGGCACCTCTGGGTGAACTCAAACTTCCAATCTTTGGATGAGTAGCCAAGCACAAAGGGCTTGTGCCCGCACCCCACCTCCCACCCCGGACCTTCATGCAGTAGAAACTGAAGCTTGGAGAGGTCAGGGATGTGGCCAAGGCCACACACTGCCACTTTCATGGCTGAGCCAGGAGTCAGTTCCCGTCCTGCTGGGTCCTCCTCCCACAGGGGCCTGGTGGGCTCACTTCCTATCTCATCGGTACCTAACATGGGGTGACGAGTGGATCCCTTCCTCAGTCGATCCCAAGCACAGCGATGCCCCACACCTCCTTCCTGCATCCCTCCTCCCCCACTCCTCCTGCCTCTGCTGCCAAGCCCTGGTGGTGTCATGATCATGAGCCCGGCTACTAACTGCAAGGTCAGCCGTTTGAAACCACAAGCAGCTCCAAGGGAGAAAGAGGAGGCTTCCTTCTCCTATAGAGATTTGCAGTCTTGGAAATCCACGGGGGCAGTTTTCGACCCGTCCTTACAGGGTCGCTGTGAGCGGGAATAGACTGGAGGGCGGTGAGCTAGTCAGCGGCATTATTGTCATTCTCTGTGGAATTCTCTTCACCCAAACACTGTACCAGGCATTTACTGGGTGAGCCCTACCTACTCCAAAACCAGGCAAAAGGCTTCTCTGGCGCATAGTGACCCCATACTTGGTCCCCGAGGCTATGAATCTTGACAGGGGCAGACAGCCTTGTCTTTCTCTTGGGGCGGGCAGCTGGTGGGCTTGAACACCCCCGATCTTGCAGTCAACAGATCCATGCCTAACCCAGTACCACTGGGCTTTGGTTGTTCCACCAATGGTTGGCAGGAGTTAGTTGTCTCAGCAACTGCGCTGTACAGATAGGGGCTCTTGGACAAAGGAGGACCTGTTCCTCTGTTCTGAACCAAACCAGGTCAGACAAGATTCCGGAAGGCTGCTCCCATTTCTTATCCCTGGCTGAATAGGAAGGACACCTCTCTGAGGGGCCAACCTCGCTCTAGTGTCTTGGCCTCTTGGGCGGGCTCCAGCAGGGAGCACTTATCAGCTTCTTAATAAAGAGCCGGTAGGCTCTGGAGCAGTGCCCAGAACGAGGCCTCCTGAGAATGAATATTCCTTCTACGTCAGGGTCTTGATGGAAACGTCTTCACGGCATAAAGTGACTGCTCAGCTAATTCAGTCTGGGAACGTGTCATTTGGAGGCAGTAGGGTCAGGTCATGTGTGGTTTGAAAGAGTATATCCAGTCATGACAACAGGATTTTTATATTTAGCAACAAAGAGAACCACCAGCGTTTGTGTGGCAAGCCAAGACTGACAAAATGTCGATTAGAAGATGTGCTGGAAAACTGAGCAGTAATATGCAATGAGTCGAGGAAGGCTCCTTTCTGAATGGAGGGAGGAGTGGTGATTCAGTCGTAGCATCCTAGTCTTCTGTGCAGGAGACCCTGGTTCGATTCTTAGCCAGCACACCTCGTGCACAGCCACCTCCTGTCTTGGTGATGAATCCGTTTCAGCAGAGCTTCCAGACTAAGAGGGACTAGGAAGAAAGGCCTGGAGATCTACTTCTGAACATCAGCCGTTGAAATCCTTAATGGACCCAAATGGTCTGCTCCACAGCTAATCAAAGGGATGGTGTGGGAATCGGGCATCACCGTGAGTCGGCGGGGCTACTAGACAGCAGCTGATACCACCATTACCACCACCACCACCAGCTTGACCATCTGCTCCGAGCAAATCCCCACTGTGTACAACTTACTTCTGCATCTCAGAGGCGGCATGGTGCCCTTGAGGGCAGGACTCTGCGTGGTTTCTGGAACTTGGGGCGATGCTTGGTGTGTAGCAGGGACTCAGCTAATGTTTGTGAACTGTGCTCCCTGACTGTGGGGCTCCTCTCTCTCCAGACCCTCCTGCGCAAGCTCACTCACAGCACCATCTCCACTCCCTTCTCATAAAGTGCATTTGGAAGGCACAGTCCAAGGCTGCTCGAGCTAATAGGATGCGGCGCTCTCTACCCCTGCCCACAACACCAAGAGATTCTGAGCAGCCCTCGCCCGGGACCCCGGGCTACCTTTGTCTTGCCCAAATGTTTTCCAGATGTGATGAACCACAAGCTCTTTGTCCATCAGTTCTATTTACCTGTAGAACTAGCATCCTGTGCAACACAGCCCCCCCCCCCACCCCCCAACCAGGATATAATCTAAATGATGTAATAGGTTCCGATCTGGTAAGTCAACATGATGAGCCAGTCTAACCCGCTGGTTAAGGTAGGTATTATTTTAAAATCGATTTGGTATTGAGAAAAGTAAAGCTCAAGATTAGTAATGTCCCCAAGGTCGCGGGGCTTCAACATCACTCAGCCAGGACTTGCACCCAGACCCTGAAGACTCCGCGATGTCAAGACCCAGGAAGACCGGTTTGAACCTAATTGTGGAGGCAGTGGGAGCCCTCGAAGGTTCTTGGGCTCCTGAGTAGCAGGGTGAGCAAGAAGGGGGCTGCACTGGACAGAGAAAGGGTCTGTCCCTCAGTACATGGAGGTCCCCTGCGAGCAGGGCCCCCGCCCCTGCCCAGAGCCCCAGCTGCAGACATACTCACTGGACCACCCGGTAGTAGTGCTGCAGGAAAAGTGTCCAGCCCTCGGGGCGGAGACACAGCGGGGCCTCCAGACTCTTGTCGATGTCCACGTGGGCCAGGGTGCTAAGGTGCTCCTCGCAAGCACCCAGAGCCTCATCCACAAACTCTGGGGACACGACCATGGGCTTTTTCTGGGGTTTCTTGTACTGCTTGTCCTCTGCAGAGACAGGCAACACCTGTTATGATCCCACCTGCAGGGCAGCCCACCTGACACAAGCCATGCCCCCACCGCCTGAGATTATCTGAAGTCACGCCTTAACTAACACCAGCCTCCCCTGCTACATCAGGCTTGTCCCTCACCTGAAACTTGGTTCTAAATCTACCTGAGACTTGAGCCCACACCTGCATCCACTACTGCCCAGGACCTGCCGCTCAACCAAGGCCTTGCGCTCCCTTTCCCTCCCCGTCTTCCAGGGTTTGCGCTTGTTTGTGGCTCTGTCCTTGACAGCACTGAACTGCTCCAGCACACTCCTTCAGGCCGCCGGCCCGGACCGCAGACACCCATCATGCACCGGGGAGCCTTAGCCTGGCATCGACGAGCCCCTCCCTCAAAGCAGACTTGACTTCTTAAATTCATAGCCATCGCACTCTGCCACACACGAGAAATCAGCAGCCACCCCCTGAAGCCTAATACACGACTCTTAAGCCCGCAAAGAACGAGTCAACAAGTAAAATCCTACCTTCCAATCCTTCACACACCTGGAGTTCTGACACACACGTGACCATGAACCACCAGAGACCGATCCCTAAGGTGTGTACACAAAGCCCTGACCTGGACCCCAAAAGCTATGGTTCTGATTCACCCTGAACTCTCAACTCCTGATATAATAATGTTTGGCATCCCGCCCCCCCCTCCCCCTGGTCCCACACTGGGCCTGGCACCATGGGTCTCCCTGGTCACACCTGGACTCTTGTGTCCCTGGTTCCAGTTCACAATCGTCTTCCTTGTACCTGGAGCATACATCCAGGAGACAACCTGGGGCAGGTCTCCTGCCAAAGGTGGCAGTTTTTTTACTCCTTCCAGTAGAACTGCCCTGAACTTTCTTTAATCCCTGGCTAACAGGACTCTGGGATTGCAGAACTGGTGGCTTGGAGGTAGGAGATAAATCCAGAAATCTCAAGCAGCAGATTAGGTCAATATACAATGAGGCTTCCTCTGTGTCCCATTCCCCACCACTCCCTAATGTTCCTTCTGTTCAGACACTGCAGGTTGGTTCTCAGAGCACATGCCAATTGCCCAGGTCGACTGCTGCTTCCACTTCAGGGAACTGAGCTTCCCGTGGGCAAGGATGGACTCACGGCATCTTAGCCTGTCCTCGCTAGGATGTTTGGTCATGTGCCAGGCTCGTGGGAGAGCTGAATGAGGCAGTGGGCCAATCCACAACTGACCGGGGGACATATGGGTGTCGGACACGAGAATGGGAGAGTGTACGGAATGGAAGACAGATTGGTGGTAGAGAGCAGGAAGGAAAAACTGGGTGGGCAGATGGGTAGATGATCTGTAGAGGATAGGTGGGAAGGTAGGGGAAGTTGGGGGAGTGAAATGGTGGATGAAAATATGTAGGTGATGCAAGGAAGGTAGGTGAATGAGTCAATCCACAGTCAAGAGATGGGTGAATAAATGGGTTGATGGGCAAGTGGACAGATGAGAGGATGGATGGCTTGATGGGAGAGTGTGGTGGATGCACAGATGGACGTGGATGGTACACACACTTGTGGATGGATAGGTGGGAAGGAGGATGAATAATTAGATGGATGAATGGATGGATGGATAAATGGATAGCTGGTTGGATGGATGGATAAATGGGTGGATGGATGGATGGACAGATGAATGGATGAATGGATGGATGGATGGACAGATAAATGGATGGATGGATGGATGGATGGTTGGATGGATGAATGGATAAATGGGTGGATGGATGGATAGATAAATGGATGGATGGATGGATAAATGGATGGATGGACGGATAAATGGATGGATGGATGGATGGATGGATGGATGGATGGATGGATGGATGGATAAATGAATGGGGTGGGGTTGGGGAGTAAATACTATGCATAGTACTTGCCTGGGCCTCCTTCCACTTCTTCCTGGACAGAGTAGGACTTCCATTCGGACTTCACCACCAGTTTGAGAACGTTGCGGGCAGCTGTCAGCAGGAAGTCCTCTGCTCCCAGGGCAGGGGATATCCTGCTCAGCCCCTGGGCTCCAGGCCGGTTCTAGTTCTGGAACCTGATCATGACCTGCCCCATTTTGGATCCGGAACCTGACTCTGCCTCTTCTGATTCTAGAGTCTGAATTAGAACCTGGCCCAGGAAACTGACCTGCTTTAGCGCACATTCTGCCCCAGAATCTGGCCGGGACCCATTGTCACGACTTCTATGTTCTGGTCCCAATCCACTTTTATTCATTTATTTGCTGATTCACTTCTGATCTGTACTGTGCCTTAAGAACCAGACCTTTGGTCTGTAAATAATTTGACATTTGGGCTGAAACCTACTTGACATATAATTTAAACTTAGTATCTCGTCTGGACCCACGTTCTCAACTTGGAAAAGAACTTCTCAGAGAAACCCAAGGTGTAGAGCCTTTTCTTGATTTGGAACCTAAACCATCCAACGGAGTTTGACTAGGCTTGGGCCTATTCTGGAGTTAAGATTCAAAACGCAACCAACTGGCCAACTCTTTTAACAGCTGACCTATGTAAAAGCTCTCCTAAACGTGTCAGGCAGGCAAGCTGGGGCCACATTAAGGGAAGGGGCATCAGGGCAAGGTAAGGACCAGAGATAGAGAGGAGGCAAGTGCTGCTGGGGAGAGCAGGGCACTGGACGAGGCCTGTTCTTCTCCAAGTGCCTCTGGTCCTTGGCCCTGGTCGAGCAGCCTGAGGAGGTAGGGTCAGGGCTGAGCTGGGGCCTCCTTACCTATGAAGGCTCCTTTCTCATCCTCAGCCCCGAGGCGGTAGCATCGCGGGAAGAAGGTGTCTGCATCCGCCTCGTCAAACCAGGGCAGATTCCGCAGATTGAGACAGAGACCCACCTATGGAGTTAGCCGCCCAGGGGGCAGGGTGAGACTTGCCCAGGGAACCTTCCAGGGAACTCCTCCACGTCCAGCACCCACAGGGACAGCTCAGGAGGCCCTGCCTGCCCCGACGCAGTGCCTCTCCCTTCTTGCTGGGCCCCACTGGCTTATCTCCATCTCCATCTGTTGTGCTCTGCTAAGAGTGCCCCACAACCCTCTTGAAGATCCACTTCCTCTGGACAGCCTCGCGAGCCCACACCAATCAAACAATACCAGGGGCCAAGGAAAAGCTCTTCAGTCTGGCCAGGAACCGGAGAGGTAGGTATGCTGTTATCCCCGTGTCATGAGGAGGAGCTGGAGGCTCAGAGAGATGGAGTCCCCTGCTAATTAACCCTGGGGCAGACACACTGGGCCCATTGGCCAGATCCCTTCCCTCTTGCTCAGTCATACTGGATTGACTGTCTGGCACCAGATCTGGTCTGCCTTCCAGAGCCTGTGTGACTCCTCTATCTGTGCCTGGGCTTGAGCCCAGGCTTGACTTCCAATCGTTCAGACTGCTATGGTTCCTGTTCCTTATGGACAAGGGGTGCAGGGAGCTGTCCCGGGGTAGCCCCGCCTGCCCTCCTGGAGAGCCCACCTTGGTGGTGAAGGAGCCAGCCCGGGCATAGTGGTTTAACATCTGATCCTTGGAGAGGAAGCGGCAGTCCAGCACGTCGCGCCGAGTGGTCCAGATGAAGTAGGGGGTCTCGTTCCGAACCATGCGGGACTGCGGGGTGGGGGTGGGGGCAGACAGGGGAGGCTGGTGAGAGCAGCCCAGGTGTCCCCTGGCCAGCTAGATCAGGGCAGGTGGACAGGAAGCAGGGGAGGCTTCCAGAGGGACCTCCAGCCCGCAAGCCACTTTTACGCAAGGGAAGAAAAGACAGTTCTTCCTCTGGGGGAGGGGAGCAGGTGAGCTTGCCACCTCCCTTAGGCTGACTGAGCCACGCCACAGTGCGCCACACAGGTGCCCAGGCCTGCATGGGGTGCCCGGGGCTTTCCTGGGGTGGTATTTCCAAGTGGATGGGCACAGGGTATGGAAAAAGGCCCTCCCTGAGACCCCTGCCCCTCTGCCCTACCTACACCTCGGACACAGGACTATTAGTTACTACTGACGCGGTGTGTACAGAGCACTCTGCATGTCTGAACTCATTCAATCCTCACTACTGTTCTCCCCACTCCCCAGTGCAGGGACTGAGGGTTGCCCAGGGAGAGCCAGAGGGCTCACAAGCGCTCACAAGCGCGGACTAGGCTGAGCTGTGTGAAGTTCAGCATCCCACCTTCCTTGATAGTCTACGCAGTCCCACTCAATCAGTACCAAGTCCAAGTACCCAGACTGGACCCAGGGTCCTACTTCAGCGTGCACATCCTCCACCTGGTTGTATCGGCCTCTTTCAGATTTCTTTAGCCCTTCCTGCCAGCCCTCATTAGCCAAGGGCAGACGAAGGGGTGAGCTGTGGGGTTCTTCTTGGGAAGCGAGGAGGAGCAGGCCCGGCTTCTGAGACAACCTAGCAGAATTCCATATCCAAGGCCAGCCTTGTCTACATCCCCACTGGGCCCCCCCAACCCTGCTGGCCCACCTAGCCTGCAGGGGAAGCATTCGATTTTACTGCACTAGGGGAAACTGAGTCCCAGAGGAGGAAAGGGGCTTCCCTGAGGTTACCCAGCTGGACACCAGCATTCTCGCACTGTCCAGAAAACCCCCTGACACCCTACTTCCTCCTGGCTCGCAGGCCACTCACCATCAGAGCGTGGGTCCCCTCCAGGGCTTCACATGCCAGCAAACCGCCACCGCCGAATTCCAACAGCTGTGATGACTCTTCATCCTCATCTTCATCCTCTGTGGAGGCAAAGCCCAGTCCTTGGTCTGCATGCCCAGACGGGGGCGCTAGCCCTGGGGGCATGGGCACCACTGAGAGAAAGGGGTGTAGGAGGGAGGGCTGGGCATGAAGAACACCACTCACCATCCTCGGGGGTGTCACTATCACCTATCACTGGTCTATCCAGGTCGGTCTGGGGTGGCGGCAGAATGGTGCCTGTGTGATGAGCCATCTTCTTCTCCACCCAGCCCCTCCGGAGCAAGAGGCACCGGATCACTGGGTAGTGGCCTTGGATCATAAAGATCTTCTTCTGCTACAAGGTGAGAGGTGGGCACTTGTTCAATAGATACTGTCCAAGCGCCAGGCGCAGGGGACTGAGTGGGGAGCCAGACAGAACACTTTTCTATTCCAGCAGCGGGGACAAAACAAGTCAAAAAGAATAATGCGTACATAAGAATGAGAACTGTGAAAGCCCACACCCCCAGCTGTGGAGTCCACTTGAAGGAGCCATGAGAGAAGCCCTGTGTCTCGTGTCATGTATCTGTCTAGGACAGTGCACAAACGTCTGTCCTAGCTGGTTCTCACAAACTGCTTCCTTACTGCAAACGGTAAGGAATTTGGGGGAGTAGCTGCAAACAGTGTTCCCTGGCAGGAAGTAAACAAAGCGGTATGGGCCGAGATACAGAACTCACTCTCAAGGCTATGAGAAATTCAAGCGCGGGAATAGCAGACTTACCTGGGAACACTGCCAGTATTGAGTACATAAAAATAAAGCACTGTGGGCTGTCAAGGCTGCAGTTTGTACCATCTCTGTCTGTGTGTTTTGTGCTGCAGTCCTGTATTGTCTCTGTGTGTGTGTGTGTGTGTGTGTGTCTGTTTGGCTCCATGTTCATGCTCCCTGCTCAAGCAACCGCGGTATCACCACTCAACTCTCAGCCGTCCAACTGGCTAGAGTGGAACTGCTCCACCGGGCTTCCAAGGCCGTCGCTCTGTAAAGAAGCTGATGGCTGAGATGTTTTCCCACAGGCTGACGGGTAGGTTTGAACCACTGACTTGTCAGTTAGTAGCCCACTGCTTAACCCAAGACACCACCAGATAGACCAAGGCGCTAGCCATCACGTACTGCGCACCTGTTATACATTAAGTACTCTACCTACCTTACATTACAGGCATTATGTTACGCATTTACACACACCACTAGACCAAGGATAGGCGTTCGTACTAGGTACTACTATCCTCACTTTCCCGGTGGTGAGACGGAGGCACAGAGAGGTGGAGAAGCTTGCCCATGGACACAGTGTTTAAGTCAAAGAGCAGTTGGTGCAGCCCAGGCTATTGTGGTTTATGCAGGAGAGGAATAGCAGTAGCCAGGAGGAGTGGAAATGGGGCAGTGATGGGCCTGGAGAGAGGAGAACTGGTTTTGCGGATGGAATCAGTTGTATGGGGTGGAGGGCCAGAAGCAGCCGATTGGGAGAGGGAAAGCTGGAGGAGACCGGGAAGGAGCACAGGTTTGGGCAGACTGTGGTCAATCATGCAGGGACTGGCAAGTGTGGGTGTGAAGTTCAGAGCAGAGGGTGGGCTGGAAAGGACATGGGGATGTGTGGATCAGGGGTTCAGTGTACTACTGGCCCTGGGCAAAGGGACAGAGGAGTCTGCCTAGGAAGGGGATGTGGGGAGGGAAGCAGGGAGTCACTTGTGTCCTGGAGAACCTTCCTAGAGAACTGAAAAGTCGCAGTGTTGGAGGGAGAAAGCACAGGTGTGTGTGTGTGTGTGCAGCCAGCCAGCAGTGGGCACAGAAGAAGTGGGCACAAAAGGGGTGGTTCAAGGGCACTGAATCCTTGGTAAAGGAGTGGGCTGGTGAGGGTGGACTTGGCTCTCAGGATTGGCTGTGAAGGTGGATAAAATCTGGGGAAATCGTTGGAGATGGGTGCGGAGCACAAGAAAACAGTTTGGTCAGTAGGCTGAGCCATCCCAGGCCCTATGGGGACCCCTCCAGCCCCCCTCCGACCTTGACAGCTCTCTCCACGTAGATCTTGGCGTTTCTGAGCCGGCCCATGTGGTGAGTGGGCTCGGAGAATCCTCGCCAGAGGACAAATGGACCTGCAGAAAGATGGGAGGGGGCAGCTCGGTGTGTGGCTTGGGGCTCCGGTTAGGCCCCGCCTACGGCATGATGTCCATGCCCCTGTTCTTCCTTCACCTTTTCTCCGTTCACTTCGGGCGGCCCTTTCCCAACACGCCCCCCATGCTCACAGCCATCGCACCCAGCTGTCGCACAGACAAGCGGGCCCCTTTGGGCCTCACCTTCCTGCGACTGGGGGTCATCCAGGGCCGGGGGGTGGAGGGGGCCGAGGGAGTGGGGTTCCGCGGCACCCTTGGGCTGGGCGCTGCGGAGGAGCGTGGGGAAGGTGCAGCCCAGGCGGTAGGCAGAAGCAGGGCTGCCGGCTCGGCTTCGGCGGCCGGGGCTGACTCCGTTGGGCCCAGCGGAGGCGGGGCCCGTGCATGGCTGCGCCCCGGGGAGCCGCGGTTCGGAGCGGTGCGCCCACGACCACCTGGCGGAGGAACACGCGGGCGGTTCCGACAGAGGCGGCTTCTGCAGCCAGCTGCACGCGGGGCCGCCCTTCTGGCGGCACCAGGTGAGGGAGCCCGGCTGCACTGCCCCGAGCTGAGCCCCGGGCAGGAGCAGCGCGGCGCCGGGGCCCTGC